ATATTCTGTAGGTCCTTTAAGTAAAATGTAGTTTTTTTGTTTGGCGAGTAACTAATCAAAATGAGGTTCAACTTTTGGAGATTTCAAGGCAAAGTACGAGAATTTCTGCCTCTTGTAATCTGAAAACCATCAATTCAGGCTTCACGTTTTGCCCGGAACATCCCGCAGTATGGCATTAATCTTACCTATCTTCGTGACGCGTCCAGAATCCCACGTTTTTTTCAAGTTTAATGCCACAAAGCGGATCGTTCTAAGCGAAATCACCTCCTCGGACGTAATCAAACCAGAAAAGCGACGTACTGCACCTTTTAAAACAAATAAAATCCCTGTGATGTAAGCATAGTTTGTGATTTTCGCTCTGACGTCCGCGTTTACGCCGGTCCGTGGACATCCCCAGTGAGGGCACAATGTCAGTAAAGCTTACAAAATAAAGGCTGCTCGATGCGATCTGGAAAATTAAAACAGTTCTTAAGCCAGAGACAGTGTTTTCCAGTCCTTTTTAAACAGCTGTCGCCATTCTACCACAATCAAAAACGCAGTAATTTTGGTGTAAATAATAGAAGAGGTTGCAACCCTAACCTTTCTATGTCTAAGGTTTCAGTATAAGACATTACATTCATATCCTTAATAACAGCTCGCCCATAATCAAGAGTTCAATAGGCAAAACAATGACAGCATCAGCTATGGACAAGTTGTAGTTTACATGACAGAATTGCATAATGTCTGCCAATGGGGGAAAGCAAAGGGGAAAAGGTTAAAGGACAAGCCGCTACAAGAAGAGACTAACTAGAGTAGAAATCCGAGAGAGAGAGAGAATGGAGGGAGTACGCCGCAGCAAAGGAAGGTCGACATGACTTAAAATGACGTGAATTCTTGATATTTCAGTTTCATTTTCAGTAGTTTTCAGTAGTTTTGATGTAGTTCTAGTAATTCTGGCAACAATACTTTAAAGGAAATGCAAGGTTTTATTGTTTTGAAAGTGCTGTATTTCATGAAAATGTTTCCAGAACTAAGTCACTCCCCCTCCAGAGCGCTATCGACTTGAATTTTGAATATTTCTTATATTTTTAGCAGTTGTATTGTGTCAAAAACTCAAATTCACAGAGGCCAAAATTAAAAACTGGGACTAAGTCTTGAGCCAAACTAAATATTTACTGAAAAATTTCCACAACATCTGCATATTTTCTCTTCTTTTGGGATATGAAATGTTAAACCTTTACTTATTAAAATAAATGTTTAATAATAGTTTTGATTAAACATTGAATCCAGAACAAGCAAAATAAAACATTCTAAAATAAATAATGTCTCTATAGTCTATCTGTAGTCGGCGAGCAGCTCTAATATAGATTTGATATGATCTCGTGGGCCAAATATAATCATATCACGGGCCAAATTTGGCCCCCGGGCCTGAGTTTGACATGTCTGTTTTATTGTTTAGAAAATGCTATATTCATTGAAAACGTTTCCTGAACTAAATCACTGTTTGTTCAGAGCACTAAAGAATTGTGAATATTTCTTATATTTTTTGTAATTTTTTGTAGTTTTGAAGTAGTTTTATTGGACTGATAATTGTTTTCAAGTAATTTTGACAACAATATTTTAGAGGAAAAATAACTCGCCAAATGGAGAAACAGAACTGTAAACACTAAAGACCCCCTCTTTTACCTATATGGGATATTAACTTCTTCTTAACATTTTTCGATCACCATGTTACGTTTTATTGTTTTGAAAATGCTATAAAAGCTGAAAACGTCTCCTAAACTAAGTCACTCCCCCTCCGGATCACTACTGACTTGAATTGTGAATATTTATTTTATTTTTAGTATTTGTATTGTAGTTTTGATGTATTTCTGATGCTTTGATAATGTGAATTGTTTTACAGTCATTTTTATAATATTAAAATCTTGAAATTGAGTATGATTTTAGCCATGTAATTCTAGTTAGTAATTAGTAATTCTAACTGTTGTATCTGCTCCTGATTGGCCAGAGCTCACGCAAAATACGAATTGTGTTGTGAAGCAATTCAATTCCGCTTTAAACGGCTTAATTTATATATTCTGGTGACATAAAATGCAGCTAAAAATCTGTTAAAACGTAACAGGAAGTACTTTTTACTTTTGCTTAACTACAATTTCGGCAGGATCGGGATCAAATTGGTCAAAAATAGGGACACCTGCGACATTTCTTGTATAAAACTGGGACAAATCACTGGTTTGTAAGGTAAATAAACATCTGGTCACACTAAACTGGAGTGAAAAGTGTTAATTTTTAGGTTTATATAAGAAGTCTGTTGTGCTGTACACTACCGGTCAAAAGTTTTAAAACACCCTCATTTTTCCAGTTATTTATTGCAATTCAAGTCGTGCAAGTCCAACGAAGAGCTTGAAATGGTACAAAGGTAAAAACTGAACAAAAGAAAGAAAGATAATGACCCAAAACACAAGCCCAAGCTCTGCCAAAAAAAACTACCTCAGGAAAAAAAAAAACAAGATGGTGAGCTTCTGAAACAGACTTGGGAAGAACTTTTTGAAGAATATTTGATTTCTGTTGTAAAAAAGAAAGAGCCACGAGTGTGTTCAGCTGTTTTATCTGCCAAAGGTGAGATGAGTCAGAATTTTAGAATACGTTTTGGTCTATAAAGTGATTTCCATGATTTCTTTTTCAACTCAAATTACTTAATTGTTCTAGGCTTTCATTTCTATGGAAGCCGAGAAGGGGTCACAACAAACGCAAACGCCGCAACAAATACAAATGCGACAACAACAACAAAAAGTAAAGGAACGGAGAAGTTGGAAACGTAAGTAAAAGTAATTTATTGTTTTATCATTATTCGTTTCACGTTGTAGTTCTTCTTCTTCACTTGCCGCTTGATCGGTCCGTCGGAAAATAGAGGCTTTTTTTGGTGTGTTGTGGCTTTTTTTTGGTGTGTTGTGGCTTTTTGTTGTGTTGTGGCTTTTTAATGTGTTGCGACGTTTGTGTTGTGGCGTTTGTATTTGTTGCGGCGTTTGCATTAAAATAGAGTCCCGCGGTCATTTCCTTTGTGGCTTTTTTTTGGTGTGTTGTGGCTTTTTGTTGCGTTGTTGCATTTGCATTTGTTGCGACGTTTGCGTTTGTTGTGGCCCCTCTCGGCTTCCGTACATTTCATAGTGCAAGGACACAATAATAAGTTAAAAAAAAAAGGAAGAAGAGTGGTGTTCTAAAACTGTGGACCAGTAGTGTGTGTTCCTTAAACCTTAAAGCTACCACCTGTAATTGAATTCGCCATTTTACCCCAGTTGTATTCTCGCTTCTCGCCACTAGATGCCGTCTGTGCTACTTCTGTCGGAAAATGCGCCGCTTTTGGCTCGACAGAAGAAGACCAGAGCGCACATGCTGCCATCTACTGGTAGAAAAAAGCAAAAACTTACAGATGGTAACGTTTGGTAATGATTTTGTATTTTTGCTGCTATTTGGTCATTACGTATGTAACGTAAATCCCGTAGGAAGAAGGACAATAACGTCATTCCTCTTGATAAAATTCACCAAACATTCTCTTTGTTCCGGCTTTAAATCCTCAAGTTTTAAAGTAATTTTCACAACAATATTTTAAAGATAAATAACGTTTTATTGTTTTGAAAATACTATATTCACTGAAAACGTCTTTGAAATTAAATCACTCCTCCTCCTAAATTATAACATAATTTATAATATTAACATTTTATTGAGTATAATTCTAGCCATGTATTTGAACGGTACGATATTTATTGTGATATTTTGGAGAGGTTGATATATTACTGTAGATAGGACACTTTTTTGATTTTAAAATACCTTGACAAGATTTTGATGTGAATTATTTCCATCATAATCCCAAGAATTCGAGTAAAAAAACATCTTTCTTCAGAAAGAAATGAAATGAATCATGGGATATGTAGTTCCCGATGTTTATTAGCTAGTGCTACTATAAAACCATGAATTTAAGCAAATGATTTTGTAATTCGATATATTGTGATACCCCATGATATTATTGTGAGACTTTTAACAATACAATATCACGATATTTTGGTTATTGTTACAGCAAAAAAACTACCTCAAGAAAAAAGAACAAGAAGGTGAGCTTGAAGAAGAACTTCTGAAGACTTGGGAAGAACTTTTTGAAGAATGTTGTAAAAAGAACGAGTCGTGAGTGTGTTCAGGTGTTTTATCTGCCAAACGTGAGACGAGTCAAAATTTTAGAATACGTTTTGGGTCTATAAATTGATTCCATGATTTCTTTTTCAACCCAAATTACTTAATTGTTGTAGGCTTTCATTTCAAAGAATAATTTTCAGTAAAAAACAGGAAGAAGTGTGGTGTTGTAAGACTTTGGCCCAGTAGTGTGTGTTCCTTAAACCTTAAAACTAACGTCTGTAATTGAATTCGCCATTTTACCCCAGTCGTATTCTCGCTTCTCGCCACTAGATGCCGTCTGTGTTACTTCTGTCAGAAAATGCGCCGCTTTTGGCTCGACAGAAGAAGACCAGAGCGCACAGGTGAGCAAAAAACGTACAAACGGTAGCTTTAAATCGCATTTTTAAAGATCTGGATTTAGTTGGAATCGAAATAAAGCATGTTGAAATCAGAATCGGTCAAAACTACTCAAAATCGGAACTCCGAATTCATCTCATTTTCGCTCATTGTGGACCTTCCTTTTGTTGCGGCGCGTGGGTGAGTATCGTCTATTTTGGGGAGGGGGACGGGTGAGTATGCCGGGGTGAGTGGGTGAGTGAGTGGGTGAGTGGGTTAGGTCTGGAGGTCCCTGGTCCTGGATGGGGCAGCTCCTGTTGGCAGTGGACAGCAGTGGTTGAGCGGCGGGGCTGAGGGGGGACGGGGGTCGTGGTCGGGGGAGGGCGATGAGTTTTACACAATGCTCTGTCGGACGAAGGCATTTCAGTGGAGATGAGATGAAGGCAGCCTGCAGGTCACAGTGTAGGAACCCGGAACACCTCACGCCAACGCTTCACGCCAACACGCCGCGCGCCAGCTCACTCCGGCTCCACTGGGCTGGGGTCTATGGGTTCTGCAAAGACAAAACAATAAGACAAAAATGTAAGTTTAAAAGCCCGGAATCCGTGTGTCATTCGTTCATTCGGTTTTCAATATAAAACCAAAAATAAGAAAATGAAAAAACAGATAATGATTCGTTTTTTTCAGTTTTTCGATTTTGTGTTTAAATTAAGAATGGAAAAAAACGGATAACGGCCGTTTCCCTGTTTACGTGACTTTCGTGACTGCGATGCCGGACTTCTGCGCCACATACAGACTGAACCAGGACTGATCCAGGTCCGGGGACCAGACCAGGACCAGAGCGGGACTAAGACCGAGACCAGGCTGAGACCAGACCAGGACCAGACCGGGACTGAGATCAAGACCAGGCCGGGACCAGACCAGGACCAGACTGGGACCAGACCGGGACCAGACCAGGACCAGACCAGGACCAGACTGGGACCAGACCGGGACCAGACCAAGACCAGGCCGGGACCAGACCAGGACCAGACTGGGACCAGACCGGGACCAGACCAGACCAGACCAGGACCAGACCGGGACCAGACCGGGACCAGACCAGGACCAGACTGGGACCAGACCGGGACCAGACCAAGACCAGGCCGGGACCAGACCGGGACCAGACCAGGACCAGACCGGGACTGAGATCAAGACCAGGCCGGGAACAGACCGGGACTGAGACCAAGACCAGGCCGGGACCAGGCCAGGACCAGACCGGGACTAAGACTGAGGCCGGGACCAGGCCGGGACTGAGACCGAGACCAGACTGAGACCTAGGCCAGGACCAGACCGGAGGCTCAGAGCCCACGGCAGGGCCAAGAGCTCGAAGCTGAGGCTCGGACCCTGCGGAGGCTCGGAGTCAAACTCTGGTCCCGTTATCCATTTTTGTCCATTCTTCATTTAAACACAAAATCGAAAACTGAAAAAACGAATCATTATCTGTTTTTTTCATTTTGGTTTTGGAGACAAATAATGAAGAAAACTGTTGTTTTTTCGTTTTCTTATTTTTGGTTTTATATTGAAAAACGAATGAATGAATGACACACGGATTGTCTGGACATATGTTACACAAAATTGACTCTTGTGAGCTTTAAGCCAAGTTAGAATGTTGTTACTCATCAAACACAGACCTGGAGTTGAGTTTTGTTTCATTCCCACATGTTTTAATGACTCTTTATTATTAGTCTGTTTACATATCCAAAGCTCAAAATGCTCTGTTACGCCTTGTGATACACTGTTGGGCAAGTGACTTTAACACTGTAATGTGTTATTTATGACTTGTTACTGACATTTCAAAATAATTCGTTACATTACAATATTACTGTGTTTAAAATGTCAAACATGACACGACTATTACAGCACTTTTAATTTACTCTCACCAAAATAACTGTGAAGATGATGAACTTTTGCACCGTATATGGACTAAACCAGAACTAAACCAGAACTAAACCAGAGCTGAACCAGAACTGAACCAGGACCAAACCAGGACTAATCTTGGACTAGAACTAGGAGCGCCCCTGAGAGAACCCTGAGTCTGGGGTGTCTGCAAGGTGCGATCGGGCGTCAGCTGCGTTTAGCCCAATGGAGTTTCTAGTTCTGCGTCGGTCCTTTCGCTCGCAGTCACTCGACGGTCTACACGAGCGCACGTCCGGCATTTCATCACTGCTGATATCGCGGTAATTTTAGCAAATTTGTATAAAGAAAAACCCACCACTTCAATCCAGGTTAAAAATGTATTGTGACGCGCTTTACTCACATTTGTACTGAGTAAAATATTAACTTTTTTCCCCCTGTAACACCACATTACTGCGTTACAGCAAAAAGCAACACATTACAGTAATTTGTTACTTTTATAACATGTTACTCCCAACACTGTTGTGATGTCATGAAGCAGTAGTTTTTAAGTTAAAAAACCATTAAACACCCTCCTGAAGCTTTACTCCGACCTTGGCAAAATCTGAAAAACAATCCAACACGACGTCGATCAGGCCACTACGTTTACACATACCCGGGTTTGTTGAGAAACGAATATTTCCAGCCCTCCATTTTCCAAAATAACATCGTGCACACAGCATCGTTTTCAAAAAAGTTTTCGTTTACATCGACCTGCATAAATCCGCCATCGAGCGCCGTCATCACTACACCAAACCTCTGGGCGAGACCTGGATTAGATTCAAACCTGTAGCATTTATTTCATTACAGTTGTAAGTTTTACTCAAAAATACCTTGAAAGACGTGCATTACTGAGCCGGCTCGCCTCTCCACAGATCTGTTAAAGAAGTGGTTAAATTGCTGACCTCCGAGCCTCATTGGTCTCTGGTCATGGATATGAAACATCAGCTGCGTGTGCAAATGCAAACACATAAATGCATTTTCAGAGGCGAATTTGCCGTTGGCGTGTAAAAGATGGGCACAAATAAAGGGAAATGTCTCAGTTTATAAAAATACCCGTGTACGTGTAAACGGGGCTTTTGAAACAGAGCGGACATTTGTGCTTGGATCACGCCGTTTCCCTTTTCTCCAGACACATCGGGACATCGCGGTGCCAGGTCGGGGGCGGGGCTGAGAGGGGCTCCTGGCTGTAGTTGATCCTAAAGAGGCCGTTACAGACACGACTTTCACTCAAAAGTCTGATTTTTTTTATAAATATGCCCTAAAATGCCAAAATAACTCCAGGGATAGAGATACTTTTCTATTTTAGACCCATTTACACACATAATCAGTAGAAAAAAAGTGATTTGGGCGTTTAGTGACTCTTTAACAGCTCCTTTTACCTTCAGCTCCGTAGAGATGGGAAATTCCTGAGCTGAAATTTACCCAAATACAGTCCAGCACTTCCAATGTTACCACATGACATGAGTTTGGCCCAACGGCGCCAGTGAGTCCGATGCAGGTTATTATGTGACGAGCGCAGACACTGGCGTTTACGGGCGGAACGTGAAGAGGACCCCCCCCCGGCACCGCCTTTTCCCGCCGTGTCTGAAGAGAAGGGAAACGGCGTGATCCGAGCACAAATCTCCGCTCTGTTTCAAAGTCTGGAGCGCAATGGTCCGGTCGGAGTCGTGTTGGATTGTTGTGGCTGTGGGTCGACTGTCAATCATGGCTCCAGAGCCCGCCCCACACCCGCTCCCCCCATCCCGCCGAGATTCAGATTTCAGGGCAGAGTGAAGCTTCAGGAGGGTGTTTAGTGGCTCTTGAAGGTTAAAGGTCGCTGTTAATTTGAAGACTACAGCTTCATGACATCACAAGGTGGAACAGAGCTTCTGGAGATGTAAACAGACTAAAAATAAAGAGTGACTCAAACACGTGTGAATGAAACAAAACTCAACTCCGGGTCTGTTTTTGATGAGTTAACAACATTATAACATGACTTAAAGCTCACAAGAGTCAATTTTGCGTAATATAACACCTTTAATAATAGTTAATTAACCTGAATAACTAACCTACTATTCATCCATGTAAAAATAATACTGTGAATTAAAGATTTCTAGGAGATTTCTGGAGTTCGCCACTCAGTTTCAAACAAAACCACATTTTAAAAAGCAATTATCAGCGTACTAAAAGTTCTAAAAACGCTCTGAGGGGTTGTCGTAGCTAAATAAAAAGCCAAATGTGAGTATCATTGTCGTGATATTTTATACTGAACGAAAATGTGCAACCTTTTTAACATTTTTACCAACATTTACTTCATATTGTGGCTGTGTACTTGCTCTTACCACCAGAGGGCAGTGTGCAGAAGTGTACATAAAAAGGCCATAAAACAGAGCTCTGTGACACTGTGGTACACACACACACACACACACACACACACACACACACACACACACACACACACACAAGTCATTTATGTTCCAGTGTTTTGGATTCTGCAAACATGTGGGTAAAAGTGCCTCTGAATGAAGCATCACCAAGGGCATTCTTTCCTTTTCTTTCATATTTTCTTTCATCCACAACACTAAAAATAGCTCAGAATATACTGTCTAATATCATTTTTGCACCTACACTGACGAAATTTTTTTAACACAATTTCAATACTAAGGAACAGACTTAATATTCAGTACCAATTTTGATAACACAATCTCTTTTTTTTAGACTTACAAACTGTAATTTTCAACAGCTCTATTCATGCTTACATCACAAAACCGGTGGACATTTGGAAATGCGGATGACGACTTCTTTTGGGCTCTGACGAAATCTGAGAAAACTGAGAAAATGGTGCAATTTTCTTCCTCTAGATGTCCTTGTATTCTTTCTTTTTTCCTTTTATTAACTGCCTATTAATTTGTGTATTATAATCTGTCTAACTTACTAAAAAAATAAATAAAAAAGATACTATTAGAGTTACAAGTCGTCTACATGTTTCCAAATATTTTCTGGTAAGCGTGAACTTAATTTTATATTGTTGTCGCTGAAGATTACGCGCTACAGTTCCACAAAGAAACTCTCAGCAGAACACAAAGTTCGACTGTTGTTTTTTTTAACGTTGGTTTTATGTTACCACACATTTCGTGCTGGGGTCAGAGTCCTGCACCTGGAATTTTACGGGCAGGTTTACGGGCGGGTGGAGATCACACACGGGCGGGTCAGGTGAATCAAATGAACGACGAACGGGAGAAAAATACTTTGCACGTGACATTTCCCGGTCTTTTCCTGGAATGATGGACCAGGCTGAGAGAGACTTTAGTATATTTATTATGTAAAACCATCAATGAAGAAGATTCGCTCGACAGTTGTGATCTTAGTTTAGTCCTAGTTTAGTCCTGGTTTAGTCCTGCTTTAGTCCTGGTTCAGTCCTGGTTTAGTCCTTGTTTAGACCTGGTGAAGTCCTGGTTCACTCTTGGTCCAGTCCTGGTGTAGTCCTGGTCCAGTCCTGGTGTAGTCCTGGTCATCGGCTCTGTGGTTGTGGCGTGTGTATATATTTATAATCTGCTAATGACACGGTGTAGGTTCAGTCCTGGTTTAGTCCTGGTTTAGTCCTGGTTTAGTCCTGGTTTAGTCCTGGTTTAGTCCTGGTTT